ATTTTAGAGTCTTCAAAGGGTTAATGCAGCTTCCAAAAAAGCCTGATTTATATGCAGTGAGAAACTTACGCCCTGGCATGCAGTAGTTAGTAAAAGCTGTTTGGTTTACAAGGGCGAATTTAAGATTCTAGCAACTTAAATAATACTGTGAATTTCAGACCCAAGATTATTTAAACACGCTACTATGGAGATGTCTTCCTCCTGCTTTTATTGCCTGTGTAAGTTAACCTCATCTCTGATAATGACACCATTTTGGATGACATGGATGAATACATCCAAAATTCAAGTCATTCTCCTCGCAAAGTGGTAATCCTATAAGGAAGGTCAATGAAAATATGCCTATTAAGCCAAACTCTTTGTAGGAAGCAAGAGAGATTGTCTAATAGTGTTTTTATCTCATGCCTGCTATCTGATTTCTTTGGGGATGTGTATTTATGTACCAGTTTAAATCTCATTGCTCACCTTGTTTCTAATACATGTTTGTTTTCAATTGCTAGAGACAAATAAATGGAATCTGTGCAATTTTTTGTCAGAAAACGGAGCTAATTCAGGTGCAACTAATCTTTTCTTACTTATTATTTGATAATCAATGCTTGTCAATAGGATCTGGGAGTCCCAGAAGATGGATTTGTTTTTAAGATTTTTATTTTATTATATTTTTAATGACATTCTAGTCTCCAAAAGGTAATTATTAAATTCACAGAACTCTACTCTAGAGATAGATCTAAAGTTTCAATTAAGTTACCTTAAATTAGATGGACACGGTTCCAAAAGAACAGATGGGTACCTTGTACAGATCAGTATGTTTAAAAAATGAGTTTTTAAAGAAATAAGTAGTACAAAAGACTTTTTTTCAAGATTTAAAGCAGTGGGAAATACATATGAAACTATATTTCTCCAAAAGTAATTCCTACAAAAATTACTTACATTACAATAATTTTAGAATAAACCGAAGCAAAATATCCTCAGAGTGCATGCATGAACATACATAAATGATAATAAGTATGTATTTCACCAAAAATGCCTCTTGTGAAATGAAGTCCTTCTGAGAGAATTATTAAAATTGATAATGTCCCCAAGGTCACTTTAGGATAAAATACAGGCTATTTGAATCTAAACAACTGGGCCTTGATCTTACTAAAACAACTCCTACCACAAGTTGCTAACACTACCACTATTACTGCAACTGTTGTTATAGTTTAAAAATATATAAAGAGTAGGAAATGAGAGATCACTAACATTTTAAATAAAGTCTGTTCTTGGAATTACTTCCCTAAAACCATTCAGTACTTATTACCTTTACTGTGCTGCAGGTTTATTGGAAGCTGGTGTTTTCTATCTTGTGTGAGTGGGTCATCCTAAGAATGAAAATTTAAGCGAAATCAATATACTCAATATCCATGTCCTAGAGTAAATCTACAGAAGTGTATCTTGTAATGGGTTTTACTGGCAATGACAAGCCATTTTTCTAGTAACAGCTTTAATATTTTGTAGTCATTAAAACAGACTGAAGCAAAGAAGAAATTGGGGGAAAAGGTCGGGAAATTCACATATAGAGAGGAGACGAGGCCTTCTGATCACCCTGCTATGTAATTAAACAGAGGGTCAAAAAGCTATTGGAGAAGGGTATCCTTGAATCAGAGCAAAGAGAAAAACGTGTTTTAACAGGATATGAAATCCGACCCATACATAATACAGTATAAACATCAAACAGTGTCTACAGCGGTGTTTTAAATACTTTCTTATCTTGGAGAGCACTTTCTCAGATTTAATTGATGATCAGCATACCCAGAGCAAAGAACAGATGAAAAACAGTAAAGGGCATTCCCCATGAGTAAGAATAGCTGGGAAATAAATAAAAATATATGAGAGCTTATTTTATTTTCAGACTAGTAATCTAAAACTAATCTAAACGGAAATTCTTATTGATATCACAGGGAGAATTCATTGAGAATTCATTGAGCCTTCTAATTCAGGGGTGCTATATTTGAGTTTTTCCCTTTAAAAATATAAATGTTCAGTCTTAGATAGAAGTGATCCTTTGTGCTGTCAAAGCCGTTTTTGAGCGGCTGCTTAACAATTTCCCTGCTCATAATGAAAAAGGTCATTATCTGAACTACTCTGTTTGTTGTTCAAAGCCCTCCATAATCTGGCCCAGATAAATCTGTTAGACAATTCTATCACTAAAGAAAAAAAATTCTAACAACTCAAATTTGTACATATTCTTTCAAGCAAATCTCTCTTGTAATCTTTATGAAAATGATAGCAATCTTATAATTGAATTTGAAAATTCCTTGAAAGCATTGTAGGACTTAAATCAGTTGCAGAATGTAGACCCTCTAACCAGACACCTCATTGGGATTATAGAGTGTCTCCCCAAAAGAGAGAAAACTTGAATTTGAGAAAGCATCATTCTAACCTTAAATTTTTAGGACTTAAATCAGTTGTAGAATGTAGACCCTCTTACCAGACACCTCATTGGGATTACAAAGTGTCTCCCCAAAAGAGAGAAAACTTGAATTTGAGAAAGCATCATTCTAACCTTAAATTTTTAGATGACATTTTAATATTTTAGGTTCAGATGAGTGTGTTCCTTGATCTCAAATTATTTAGTATTAAAATCCAAGGTCCATGCTGAATTAAAATTAAATGTAACTATTTGACTTGGCAAATCTCTAATTTATTTTAATGTTTATTCATTAAATTGATAAACATATACATGCACAAAATATTTTCTGATTATTACTATAAATATGGACATAGTGGTAAGTATTATTTTAAAATGGAAAAATGACTAAGTTAGAAGTACTTGGTGAATAGAGCTTTCCTATCTATTGGGTATGGTTGTTTTATTATTAAAAATATATATATCTGTACATAATTTTGCATAAAATTCTAAATATAAATGATGTGTTCTAAGATTAAGCATTTATTTAAAAATTACACAGTCTAACATGTAACTCATTAAATCACTTATTATCCATAAACATAAGAGCTGTATCTATAGAAACCGTGTTTTTGGGAGATAGTGATTTAAACAGAAATATAGTTATTTTGATTATTTTATCATATCCATATAAAATGAGTATATCATATATAATAATTCTAGTATAATAATAATCAAGGAAATATACATCTATAAATAGAAAAAGATCATATTCTGTAAACTCCAATAATTGAGTTCTAAATTGAAGAATTTTTTACAGCATATATGTTAATGGAAAATATTCATAAGCTTCAGTATCTTGATACTTAAAAATATATATATGTTTAAAATAGTAAGATAACTCCAATATGTCAGCTAACTATCAACAAAGAAATGCAACTCAAAAGCAAGCACGCATATCCTATGCATGCACCCTTTGTACACAGGATGAGAAAACACATTCCTATACCAGATGGAAATGAATGGAGGGAGCTTCTCCTAAAGGGCAAAAATCTTCAAGAACCATTTAGTGGATATTTTAAAAAAAAGGCCTCATCCTCCTAACAAGACCTTCTGGTTTTCCTGGTGTTCCATCACAGCTCCCAGATGGCCCTGTGTTTCCAGTGGGAAGACAGTCACGGTAAAGCACAGGTGTGTACACACCCGTGCACACACACAGGATGCACAGGGCACATGCACGTGCACAGGAACAGAAAACGGATACCAGAGTCAAAGAGAAAGATTTTTAAGAACATTTATGCAAACAGAAATTCACATTCTGAAAGCTAAAATGCCTTATGGATATAAATGTTATCCTTGAATTTAGTTTTTATAGAACTGAAAAGTAAAACTCTTTTTTTTTCCCCAACTGATTGTAATTTAATGAATGTGAATCACAACTACTTCAGGGTAACAAGAAAGAGTTTATATCTGAGTATGTGTGTATGTGTACGCATACATGTGGTCAAACTTCCCAGCTCACCCTCCAAAATCAGGAACACATACAATTATTTTTTGACTCTAATGTTACGTATTTAAGCCCTTTGCTTGTATTTTCTCTCCAATCTCCATTCATTTCCATACAGAAAATAATGCAACCTCTTTTTTCTGGCATGAGTAAAGCTGCATAAATAAATATAATGGTGATTGCTAGATTGCTATAACATGTTATATTTTTCAAGCACAAATATATATATATATATACATATATATATGTATATATATATGTATATATATATATATATATACACACACACACACACACACCTATATTAGGGTAATGTGTAAAGATTTTACAAAGTAATGTGTAAAGTAGCCTTTAATATATTTCTACAAAATAGCACTTATCTAATGTGAAGTATAATTGCCTGTCCAAAAGGAAAGAGGACTGTGGAGACCCAGTTTCTTAGGTGAAACAGTTCTTCAGGCTGTAGCAGTGAAGGAGTTTGCTCTCCACCCACAAGTAACATCCCAGGAAACAATCCATTCCCCCTTTCCTGTCCCAGCCCACTTTTCATTCCAGCAATTTCTTCCTTAGCATTTCTTACAGGATCTCCAAAGTGAAATTAGTATACAAGTGGTAGATTTTTTATATGAAATAATTAAACATTGAGCCACAAAAAGTCACTTAATAACAAATATGGAAAAACCCAATATAAATAAATATTTAAATTCTCTTTTCAACCCTTAACATTATACAGCTTTTCCTGATATACTAACAGTACCAATGCAGATATAACAGAATAAATTACTTATTAATTATACCATTTCCCTTTTAAAAATAAAGTCTACAAGTTCTGCATATATATAGATATCTATATCTACCATACACATAGATATCTATATTTATCATATATATAGACCTATCATATATAGATATCTATATCTATTACATATATAGATATCAATGTCTATCTATCATATATAGATCTATTTACTGTATCACATATAGGTATCTACATCTGTATCCATCTGTCTGTCAAATGTAAGTGTGTATAGTCCTATGAGTGCCATCATCTAACAAGTAAAATTCGGATCACAGAGAAGAAAGCTAGCAGATGAAGAAATTGCTCACCTGGAGGAAGCAGATCAACAGACTGAAGTCTACTTGTGATGGTGTGTAGGGTGAGGATAGCAAAGGAAAGCAAAGTCGGGAATGCTTGAAAAATAAAATATTTTTGGTTAACAAATAGAAAAACCAAGTGGGAAAAGAGGGCCAATTGAATCATGAGTCCTTCTCTATTGATTTCAAATTCTGTACTAAAATTCTTTAGATTGCTCAATCCCTAAAGATGTGTTTATCAGCAATTTCCCCAGCTACATAAGACTTTGTTTTATTGGAAGAAAATTACTTTTTTGGAATATTTCAGTTTAGATGAAAAAGAAACAATGCACATTAACTATATGAATGCCTAGGTCAAAGGTGAAACTACTCTCATCACGATGGATTCATTTAGCCTAAATAAAATAAAAACTTTTCTGCAATTGTGAGTAGAAAATATAAACAAGCAGGACCAAAATTAAACTTGCAAAAGGTCTAATATCTCTAGAGAGCAAGGCTTTAATAAATTTTTTTACTGCATCTTAGTGCTATTTACACAATACATATTGTCTGGAACTTGAAACAACAGACTATTTCAATTGCTCAAAATGTTTTGACTCTAGTAATGAGAAATATATATATATACTGTAACAATATCTACCCTTTTTACACACAATATAAAAGTTTATGTAATATGAAATTAAGGAAATGCAGCATTTTTCATTTTGTTTTGCTTTTTATGAACATTTAACTTAGGTATATTATGAAAGTGTAAAATTGATCAATTTCTTAAACAAACATTTTGCTTGCATTAATGTTATTGAAATGTGCAGTGAATATATGAAATAAATTGCTGTCTAAAAGTCCTGCCAAAAAAATACCTGTTGGTGAGCAAAAGTAGCTTTATTTTCTAAACAGTCTCATTTTCTTATTTTCAACCTTTACTCAACATCTGTCATTTTCCCGCCCCTGGAATGTAATTATGCAGGATTCCAATGTAAAACAGGTTGAGTAGTTAATAACAGGCAGCTCAAACATTTTTTCTGCACTGTTGCCCTGCAGATGTTTCTTTCATTTTTTTTTCCTTTTTTTCCCCGGCTTCGTGTTTAATTTGTGTATGTTTCTCTCCTATTCTTAAAGTATATTCCCACAACAGATGGAAACATCTGAAAATAAGCCTGCCTCTTGTGCATGTTTAAATAATGCCTATTGTGATATTTAACACAGTAAAGAGAATATAGTATACACAGAATATTTGTTTAAGGGGAGGGAAATAATTAATCTGTAAGTCACCTTGCTACTGTATTCAATTTAGAATTCTGAAGAGACAATACAGTTCTTACCAAAGGCATATGAGGAAAAGTTACAGTCTGCAACCTTCATTTATTCTTATTTTGTTACCAGACTTATTTGTCTTTTTTGTATTTGACATGATTCTCTTAAATTTTCAGTCCTCCCAGAAGCTGGACTTTTTTCTATTCACTGACCAATTTTACTATGTAAAAGGCACTTTACATTTACTTGATAATAATCCAGACTCAGCAATCAAGATCTAACATTTTTAGATATATTCAAAATATGTCATATATTTAAAATAACAGAGCCAAAGTTGCATAAGGTATAGGACACCTTTATTCAGAAAAATGCATTTCACCTAAACTGGAGAAAAACCAGCTATAGGCTGCACATTGGGTTGAATATTATTCCCCAAATATTCATATCCACTCAGAACATCAGAATATGACCTTATATGGAAATAGGGTCCTTGCAGATTTAATTACTGAAGATGAGGTCATACTGGATTGGAGTGGGCCCCAATCCAAAATCTGTTGTCCTTACAAGAGAAAAAAGAGACACCAAGACAGTGACACTGGGAGAACACCATGTGAAAACAGAAGAAAAGAGTGGAGTGTTGTGTCTAAGAGTGCTGGCAACCACAAAAGCTAGCTAGAAACAAGGATGAGTCCTCCCCTGGAGCCATCAGAGAATGTGGCCCTGCTGATACCTTGGTTTTGGTCATTTAGCCTCCAGAAATGGGGGAGAATAGATTTCTATTATTTTAAGCCACTTTGTTTATGGTACTTGGTTATGGCAATTTAGGAAACCAATGCTGATTCTGGTTCCAGGAAGTGAGATGTTGCTGTAACAAATACCTAAAAATGGGAAATTGACTTTAGAATTGGGTGATGGGTAGAAGATGGAAGAGTTGTGAAGTACCTGTTTTAAAAAGCCTAGATTGCCTTAAGAGAATTATTGAAAGAAATATGGACATTCAAGGTGATTCTGAGGAGAGCTCAGAAAGTAGTGAGAAGAGTTGTAGAGAGAGCTTCTATCTCTTAGAGGAGACATACATGGTTATCACATACAGAATGTAGACAGAAATACAAACAGTAAAGGTGCTTCTTGTGAGGGGTTCAGACAAAAAATGCTATTGGACACTAGAACACAATCTTTGTTAGGGGCAGGGAACCTGGCCAAATTTTTGAGTGCAAAGTAGACTTTGTAAGTAATGAACTTGGATATTTAACTGAAGAGATTTCAAAGGAAAATGTCCTTGGTTTGGCCTGGTTTCTCCTTGCTGGTTATAGTAAAATGGGAGAGGAAAGAGATTCACTGAGGAATAAACCTTTAAGCAAGAAGAAACCAACACTAGATTTAGAAAATTCTCTGCCTATCCAGATAGCATGCTCTGGAAATAAGGACATGAGTGTAGCTGGACAGTCATCGGCTATAGAGATTTGGTGGATGATTTACAAACCTAATTAACCATCTTAAGAGAAGTTCAGATTAGAGATGGGGTTATCAAGGAAGATCTGTGGGCACCATTCTTTTCTAATGGCATGGATTCCCTCAACATCCACAGAAGACAAAGTTTTTGAGAATTTCATACTAATAGAAACACTGCCATCTTGAATAGGATGGATCAGAGATGGAATGAAATAAAGGGACAATGACTCCAAGAATACAGTCATAGATGCAGGGACCAGGAAGAGTGGGATACTGCCCAGAAGGTCAAGAAGGCTTAAAGGATAGCACATTAAGGTACATTAAAACACAGAGGATTACCTGCAGGCCTTGAAACTTAATGGAATTTGCCCAGATTAGTAACCCTTATTCGTTCCTCTTTTTTTTTTTTTTTTTTTTTTTTTTTAGAACGAGAACATCTATCCTATGCCTGTTCCACCACTGTACTAGAAGCAGGTAATGTGTTTTTTAGTTTGATAGGTCTGTGGAAAGAGAGGAATGTTGCCCCAGGTTATACCATACGGTACCCTATTTACATGCTGAAAGTTGGGACTTTTTGAGTTGATACTTAGAAGAGACTTGGGACTTAGAGTTCATGCTAGAAAGGATGAAGACATTTGGATGATGTTGAAAGGGGACACATGGATTTTGTAAATGGGATAGATGTGAATTTGGGGGGCCAGAGGGTAGGCTGAGTTGAATTGGCATCTCCCCAAAATTCAGGTCCACCTAGAAAATCAGAATGTGATTTTATTTGGAAACAGAATCTTTGCAGACATAATTACTTAAGGTGAGATCAGTTAAGTTACTATTAGAGGGGGTTCCTAATCCAGAGACTGGCATCCCTATAGGAAGAGCAGAAAAGAGGCATGGGGACAGTCTTACAAGGAGAACACCACGTGACCCTGGCGGCAGAGACGGAGTCATTGCTGGCAACCATCAGAGCTAGGAAGAGGCAAGAAAGGGTCCTTTCCTAGAGCTGTGAAAGATATGGCCCTGCTGACAACTTGATTTTGGACTCTGGTCCCCAGAACTGAGGGAATTAATTTCTGCTGTTTTAAGCCACCCAGTTAGTAGTATTTTGTTACAGTAACCCTAGGAAATTAATGTATACTATCAAAAAAACCAAACTTGAAAATATAAAATACCCAGAGAGCTGCTGAGAATGACCATGGGACAAATTAAAACATGAACCCTAGAAAAGTAAAACAGGATTGATATGAGTGAATTAAAATGTTGTCTTCTATATTATGGTTTGTAAATAAACTAAACTTGTCATAAGAGAGAAGTGCCTAAGTCAGTAAAATTGATGTCCCTGTGTATGAGACTGAACTGACATCACCCAGGAAAAACATGTATGTGTGTGTGTGTGTGTGTGTGTGTGTAATGTTGTCTCAAATCTTATCAAAAACCTGGACTCTTATAATAGTGCTAATCCCATTCACGAGGGCCCCACCCTCATGACCTAGCACCTCCCAAAGGCCCCACCTCCAAATACCATCACACTGGGGGGGGTTAGGTTTCAACATATGAATGGGGGGGGGTGTTGCTACTAACATTCAATCCACAGCAGCATTCTACTTCATGAAATACAATAAATGTGAAAGGGGAGAAGACTAAACATCATAGTTCTAAAAAGAAATTGAGTAAATATTTTTCATTGGTCTGCTGTGGAACTAACAAAGAATGAAAAAAAAACCCTGATACATTACATTTTATGTATATGTGTATATATATAAATATACATATATTACATAAATACATATAGATGTACATAAACATGTATATGTTAGTATTTATGTGCCCTTTTCAAGTGCAAAGCCTAAGAATCGATCCATCCAAGTTATATAATATCTCTCACAGTCACTGACTCTAAGGATGTGTTAGTGACATCAGTATTTCACACACAATGCAAGAAAATATCTCTTATTGTTTTGCGATATTGTTCACAGTAGAATCTTTCTGCCTTGTTATTTCAGTTTCTTTAAATGAAAAATCAATGCATGCTTTTCTGTAGCATAGCAAATTACCCCCTGTCACTTTGTTTCAAATAATGTCTTCTAAGTACCATGCCTACATCTTAGGTTTCAGTGGGTTCTTGGTAGGAATCTGAGTCACTGAGCCAGTCTCTACAATAGGAAACAGCTATTATATTTTTTTCCTGATATTTGGCTCTCAGTCATTACGCTGACATGGAAATATAATGCAAAATTAGTTTTTAAAAGCAGATTTATATTATCAGAACTATAATCAAAGGGAAAAAATGCTCAATACACTTCGGGTTTTCTACAAAATTTCTGCTGATTCTTGAACTGCTTTAGTGAGTAGATTTTGTAATCTGTAATGCCTACCAAAAAGTCTGGAAGGCATAG